TCATACTAGCTCTCTTAGAGCCCTTGCATGCAATCTCTTTACTGCTCATTTACAGATTGTCAATTCAATGAGACAATCTTCCCGCCATTAGGGGGAGATAAGAATGTCAACGTCCTATAGAATGGTGTGAATTTGCGTGGACGTTAACCACTATGTCTCATCTTGATCCCCGTACCACACAAGTGTGATAAGCAAGCAAGATGTATTCTAGCTTTCAAAATATTGCTCCAGACGCATTCTTCTAATCTAGCTAAAGTGACGAGATCATATACCAACTACAAACATGTCTGCATGGATAGATGTACTTAACGGACGTCGAGTCAACGTCCCTGAAGGGTGTCTTGGCCTGAAGCACGATAAATCACTTGGTTCATAGGATTCACTTTCCTAAAAGAGGAAGGTCACGACACAACAATAAATCCATACTCGATGGTTGTCTTAAATCATTTCCATCTCATGAGATTTCTGGATAACTCCCGAGACTTGAAGTTCTTGGTCTAGTATACTAGTTTGGATGAGATAATGGAATTGAAAGTGTTTTCTCCATAGGGATATTGATATGGAGATTTACATGTAAGTGCCCAAAGAATTACATGGACTGGTTCAAATAATTGCAAAGCACAGAACAACCTTTCAACTTGTTTAAGGCATTCACTTATGGATTAAAGCAATCTGACAGATGAGGTATACCCGTCTAAGTGATTATTTGATCAGTCAAGGATATGAATTATGCCCTTGCATGTTAAACTATGAAGTCTTATTCTGAATTGCTAGAGTTACAGTTTATGTCAATGACATGAGTCTTATTAAGACTTTAGAAAAGCTTGAGAAAATTGCCTCGTACCTGAAGACGGAATTTAAGATGAAGGATCTTGGGAAAACTCGTTTATACCTTGACTTGAAGTTGAAGCATTGTTCTGACGGTACTTTGGTCTACCAATCGAACTACACCCTAAAGGTGTTACCTTCGAGTAGACCTATCATCTTCCATATGCTATATGCAAATGAGACCCTTGAAGAGGTTATGGAATCCGAAATTCCATATCTAAGTTCAACTTTGCGCTTTGTTGTACGTAGCTCATTGCGTTAGATAGGACATCTCCTTCGCTGTTGATCATTGGTAAAGATGTTGTTATTGCGCTTACACGTAACCACTAAATTGGTATTAAAGACGTTTCTCCGTTACCCTGAAAGGTGCTACAGATTTAGGCTAATCCCAACGCATTCCAAGCGGATCCGACCCCCTTGATCCTCGGAATGATGCTTGCCTTGTTTGTTATGTTGACGCTGGTTACTTATCAAACCCGCATAAGGAAAATCCCCGAATGGTTATGTCTTTACCATTAGGGATATCGCAATATCTTAGAAGTCCATGATATGACCTTAGTTACGAAATCTTAAAATCATTCCAAGACTCACCTTACTTCACTATGCCACAAGTGAGACATGGTTAGGAGTTTTTGTTCAGTATATTCTAAGTACTTGCTGTTTTCATCCATCGTTGAGCCCCAACGACGATCTATGAAGACTATGCCACATGTATCAACCCAACCAAGCTATGATACATCAACGAAGTCAACACCAAGACATATTACGTCTACATCAGCAAAGCATCAGGAGATTGAAGTCTTGCAGGCTAATCCCAGGCAACCTTTCTGACCTCTACACGATATCACTGCCGAAGTCAACCTTCCAGAACCTTGTCCGAAGAATTCGTATGCCTTACTATTCATATGCAATGCTTGTAGTTCTCATTTGGAAGTTATTTCAAACTCGGGGAGAGTATCCAGAAGTGTACTCACTTGATCTTAATGTACTATTTTTTCCTTACGATTAAGAGTATTTTTCCGACTGGGTTTTTGTTACTTAACTAGGTTTTGACAAGGCACCTATCTTGGGCTGATCATACCTTTGTGAGTTCTTCTACTTGCGTCCAGAAGACATATAGTTTTGACTTAATGCAACATCTCACTTTTCTCCTTAGCCTATGGGTTTTTCTCCCACCTTGGGTTTTATCGTAGCAATGTTTTGTGAGTTTTACCTTTTATGGAATCTTCTGTTGATCTGAGACTCGCATTCGCTCATTGTGTCAACGACCTCATCAACTGAACTTACTTCATCACTGAAGACCTGATGCACCATTTAGTTGAGTATTTACACACTTAAGGGGGAGTGTTGCCGTCCTATTGGATTATAAATGTGATTGTGTAAATCCTAGTGTATCTAGGGATATCTTGTATATTCCCTTTAGTAGTTTAATTTCTATTAGAGTTGTAATCCTATTAGGGTAAGGATTTAACCTTCCCTACTGGTATATATAAAGGCACAATGGGAGAAAATAACACACCTCACAATTACACATATCTCTCTTCTCTCTATATATATTGCACCCCCTCTCTCTATATGGCCTCTATAATTATTCAATAAATTATGCCTACAACAAAAACCTTTTAATTAATTGTTTTCCATTAATTCTCTAATAATCTTTTTCTTCTATTTCTTATTTTGAGTCCTCTGGATATCTTTTACTCCCTTTCTTCTCCATTTGTCCTCCTCTAATATTTTCTTTTCTTTACTTCTTTATTTCATTATAATTTTTTCTTTATCCATATAATCCACAACTTTAACAATCATAAGGGCAGGGTATCGACCCATCTTCAGTAGAAAAACATCAAAATGAATATGGAGCTAAAAATAGTCAAGAAAATTACGGAGGAGACACGTGGACTTTTGAGGTTAAACTAAGGCACATTGAGACTCCCACGCGCAAGCAACGGACAATAACAGCTCAATCGAGGTCAAAGGTGAACAAAATGGTATTCTTTTTAAACCTTCTCATCACTTCTCATCAAATCTTCACCCACAAGGTAACTCCCAATTATTCTTTTCAAGTACAATGACAAGAGATTCGAAAACCACAACGAAGGAAATTCCAATGTCAAGATTTTGCAACACGACGATCCACGAAGGTTAACGCAATGACGAGTAGAGTGGCACCAACCCCATGGGGCACCACTGTGGCAACCACCACGGCAACCACCACCGTGGCAACCTTTAGCAAGCCCATAACCCACGGTGAGCACTAAGCCCCGACACCAAGAGCAGACCAAGCTGCTGCCCTAGCAGCGCGAGCCCAAGCTCAACGTACAACCCAAGACATGTAGGCCTAAGCCATGCCGAATACAGCCCAGCGCCTCGCACCTTTCCAAAACACATGGGCCCAAGCCCAGAATGAGCCGACCCGAGCAACGACCTGGTGCGAGCCCAATGCACATCCGAGCCGAGCCCAGGCGCAACTCTCACACATGCCGCATGTGCAGCAGTTTACTCATGTGGCCCAACTTATTCTCATGGCTTCCGAAACAACCCAAACCAGTCCAAAAGCGGTTTAACCATCCCGGCTTCAAATTTCTAGACCGACGATTGAACCAGAGGCACTTTCACCTCATTTCTCTGCAGATTTGAAGTTTCCCAACTCAAATCTTGCTCCCAGAGTCTACCATACTTCCACAACTCAAGGAGACGCATTCTTTCCAAGCTTTTCTAACCCAAATGGTGAACAATACTTGTCTCGACAAGTCATAAAGTTGACAAGTGCCCTTGCACAACAGACAACCTTGGTGAATTAGCTTTTCCAACGCACTGATAAGTAATGTGCCCCAAACGAGCTATCCCAAAGTAGGACAAGGGCAGAAGAAGAACATCTTCAGCAACGTTTCGACAAGCAGCCACCAGCCGAGCATTCTGGCAGTGTACACTCCTGACTAGGCCCCCGAGATAGTATATACTCTTGTCTTAAAGCGCGAAGGAGCATGCACTCTCGGTTAGGCCCACGGATGAGCATACATTCATGATTCGGACCACACTTTGATAATCAACATGAGCAACCTTCTAGGCGAAGTGTTCAATCGTGGCTAGGCTCGCAAAGAACATCATCCACCTCAGATTGGAGTAGGTAGCACAACGGACGGAGAGAAGCAATCACTCAACCCAGCTCAAGTTCAACAGGCAGCCTACGAGGAATTCCCTCGTCTGCTAAAAACGAACCACATGCACCGCCGCTGTGGGATAGATGAGTTGAACACGTAGAAGAGCAACCTAGACCAGCAAGTCAAGACTAGGGGCAGCCGGGAGCTCCGCTACCCCTAACAAAAGTAAATTCAGAAAGAAGTAGAAAGGCTATTTACCGAGTGATTGCGTGATTTCCAGCGTAACGAGGTCACTGATGAGGCGCTACGACGGAACATGACCAACATGAGTAGGTCACCTTTCACGGACGAGATCTAGCAGGCAAAGCCTCCACACAAGTTTAGCATGCAACATTTCACATCTTTCAAATGAGATGGAGACCCAAAAAGACACTTGAAGCACTACCAAAGCACAATAGTCCTTTACCGGAACAACGATGCTCTTATGTGCAAGATATTAACCACAACTTTACAAGGCAAGGTGCAAGATTGGTTTCACACCCTACCATCATGATCTATCCAGAGTTTTGATGAACATTCCTTGGTTTTCACCAAAGAATACTCATCCTACCACTTTATCAAGAAGAAGTCCGATCATTTGTTCAATGTGAAAAAGAATCCAAATAAATCATTCCACGACCACATGAAAAGGTTCAAAGCAATGAAAGCGAAGATAGTTGGATACGACGACTCGATAGCAAGTGCAGCCTTCCAAAAGATGCTCCCAGCAAAGCAATAGTTATCTAGAAAATTGATCATGAAAGAAGATCTAACTCTACTAGACTCTTTCATTCTGGCAGAGAAGCATGCACTTTGGTACGAGGCTCGACGAGAAGACAAGGCACCTGAGCAACCTCAAAAAGAATCGGTAGTAGCTAAAAAAAATGAGGATGGAAAACAGTACAATAATAAAAGTAGGCAGGTGGCCAAGCAAAAGGACCAATCCCCGATTAAAGGAAGCCCGATGCCTAAGAACTATTTTAAGTTCTCGATCCCAACCTACCAAATCCTTCGCAACATCAAGAGTGAACCATGGTTCAAGCTGCCGAAACAATCGAGAGGAGATACTTGCAAGTTGGACCACTCCAAGTACTGCACATTCCACCGATGTCTCGGCCACACAACTGATGATTGCTACACTTGGAAGAATTACCTAGATAAGCTCGTGCAGGAAGGCAAGGTCGATAGATACTTGGACAAGCCAGCTATGCGACTTAGAAGAAACGTAGATGTCGACAAAAAGCTGCCCACAAGACTATTCAGATTAATGGCATCTTCGTCAAATCTGAGCACTTGAGGGCCACCAACAATTCTAAGAAGTGGAAGATCTAGCAGGCTCTGCTAATCTCACAGGTCCAGGCAATCAACACCCAACCTGGACTCATTATTGGCTTCACCGAGCAGGATGCCGAGGACGTCGATTTTCCGCATGACGACACATTGGTGGTATCTGTCCAACTAGCTTACGTTATAGTCGAAAAAATGATGGCTAACAATGGAAGTGCAGTCAACCTACTTCAGCTCTCAGCAATTCAGAAGATGGGCCTGGAAAGCACAATCATACGCAAAACGGAGGTACTTACCAAACTCAACGGGCATATCTCGAATGCCATCAACCACATCACACTTGATGTGAAAACATCGCCAGTTGTCTCAAAGCAGAAGTTCACGATAGTAAGCGACCCATCTCCTTACAATGGGATTCTAGGACGACCTTGGCTGATAAAGCTGGACGCCATCATTTTCGTCAAATATCAGAAAATTCGATTCCGCATCCTGGGATAAGAAGTCGGAAAAATCAAGTCTGACCAAGCCGTATCTTGATGATGCACGGTGTAAATATTAAATGGGTCAAAAAGAAGACCTTTACCCTCGTAAAGGCCACCGAGGTCCAAAGGGACGACGAAGCTGCTAAATAGCAATTACAACTGACAGATCAAGAAGATGGCATCCAAATCAACATGTCAGCAAACGAGATGGGATGGAAACCCCAAGAGGATTCCAAACACATCATTCTTAATCCCCAGCAACCAGAGAAAACTGCTAGAATCGGCTCACATCTTAGCCCGAAAGAAAAATGAGGAACTCACAGTTTTTCTTAAGAAAAATTATGATTTGTTCGCGTGGTCACCTTTCGACATGCCCAACATCAACTCCAAGATAGCTTGCCATAAGCTGCATGTTGACCCAGCTACCAAACCGATGATCCAAAAGAGAAGACATTTTGCACCCAAGCAGGTGGCAATCATCGTAATAGAAAGTGACAACCTAGTGGAGGCCGAATTCATAGAAGAGGTGGCACACTCAGCATGGCTTGCCAACATCGTGCTAGGAATGAAGAAAAAGAAAGGCAAATGGAGGGTTTGCAAAAACTACATCAACCTCTACAAAAAATGCCCAAATGATCCTTATCTAGTTCCCCGAATTGATCCACTAATAAATTCAATTTCTGGTAACCAACTGCTAAGTTTCTTGGACGCATACTCTGGCTACAACCAAACAGCCATGAACGAACCCGATAAGGAGAAAACTGTGTTTGTCATCAAGCGAGGCACCTACTGCTACAACGTCATGCCCTTTGGCCTTAAGAATGCAAGAGCCACTTACCAAATATTGGTAAACATGATGTTCAAGAAGCAAACTAGAGTAACCATGAAGGTCTACGTCGACGACATCATGGCAAAGGGTAAGCAACGATCAGACCACATCGGCAACTTGGCAGAAACTTTCGACATCCTTAGAAAGTACAAGATGAAGCTCAATCCCACCAAATGTACATTTGGAGTATCTTCAAGTAGATTCTTAAGGTACCTAGTAACCCAACGAGGAATCAAAGCATAACCCAAGCAATCCTAGAGATAAAATCTCCAACTACCTTGAAGGAGACCTAAAGCTTGACCGGACGAGCAACCGTCCTCACCGTTTTCTCTTACGGTCCGCCAATCAATGCAAGCCTTTTTTCAAAGCAATCAAAAGGGCACAACGAGACAAATGGGATGATGAGTGTGAAAGAGCTTTCTAAGACTTATACATTTACTTGGCAGTGTCGAAGGTAGGAGTGAGCTATGCCTTCATACGAGAAGAACTGGGGGCCCAACTACCGATATTCTACACTTCTAAAGCTCTTCTCGATGGGGAAACTAGATATCCAAAGATCGAGAAATTATTCTTGGCACTAGTTGTTACGGCTCGGAAGCTCAGACCACATTTTTAGGCTCACATAGTCGTCGTCACGACTCAGTATCTGCTACGATCAATCCTACATAGTCTAGATGCTTCTCAATGAGTGATGAAATGGGCATTGGAACTTGACAAATACTGTTTAGTTTTTCGACCTTGCATAGCAATGAAGGCCTAATCCTTGGCGGACTTCATAGCAAAATTCACACTTAGCCCAGGCAACGTGACAGAGTGGCCCAATGATGCCCTGGAGGCTACTAAGCACACCCTTGCTACGCCTACTTCACCCTATGGAGACTTCTAGCATTTACATGTCAACGGTGCATCCAACTACAAGGGCACAGAAGTAGGTGTGGTCTTTGCTACCCTAAACGGTTTAATGCTCAAATAAGCGATCATTCTATGCTTCAAAGCATCTAACAATGATCCAAAGATAGTGCAATACCTAGAGAAGGTATGAAAGAAAATTAAGGCATTTCAGACTTACACTCTCACTCAAGTTTCGCGAGCAGACAATGCTCACACGGATGTGCTAACCGGCTTAGGCTCCGCCCTAGACCACCAACTCAAACACTCTATTCCGGTGGAGTATCTAGACAAGCCACGCATAGAGGCAGAGCCAGCAATTGAGGTGTCATAGGTTAGTACAACTCCAAACTGACAAAGTTCCATTATAAACTCTCTAGTCAATGGCACACTCCCCACAGAAAGGTCAGAGTCTAGAAAACTCTGAACGAAGGCAACAAGCTACTACACGTGGAACAACATTCTCATATGAAGAACCTACATTGGTCCACATCTCTGCTACCTAACACCTCCTGACGACCTAAAGGTCCTAAGTTCAATCCACAAAGATGTATGTAAAAATCACTCCGGAGACCAATCCTTAGCACATAAGGTTCTAAAAGCAAGCTACTATTGGCCTACTATGCATCAAGACGCTAAGAAATTAGTACAAAAGTATAACTGATGCCAACCTACAAGCTAATACCAGCACTGCCTGCCAGCGAACTACATCGACAAACAAGTCATTGGCCGTTTATGCAGTAGGCGATTGACTTGGTAGGGCCAACAGCGCTGCAACTGAGGGCAGAGGCATAATGATCGTGGCAACAGATTACTTCACCAATTGGGTAAAAGCAAAACCCATGACAACCACGACTCAAACGGATATAGAGCGCTTCATATGGAGGAACATCATTTTCCGATTTGGCATCCCTCAATCCATTGTCACAGATAATGGCTCGCAATTCGTAGGCAAAGATTTGGTGAAGTTCTTCCAAAAATATGGCATCAAGCAACACATATCCACGCCAAGGTATCCTTAAGGAATGGACAGGCCAAAGCATCCAAAACGATGATTCTTAACTACCTCAAGAAATCCATCTTCGACAAGAAGGGAAAGTAGCTAGATGAACTCCCCTGATGTTTATGGGCATGTCTCATAACTAAACGACGAGCAACCTATGAGACTCTTTTCTTTTCAGTATTTGGTTTAGAGGCAATCATTCCTCCCAATGTCATTGTGCCTAAGTGTTAGCACTTTATTACCAGGTATCGAGCAAAATGAAAATGAAATGGCCACAAATCTAGATCTAGCAGAGGAGAAACGCTAGAAAGTCATCACCCACATCACAGCCTACCAGCAGCAGCTCCTCTCTAGCTATAACAAAGGGCCAAGTTTCGACAGTTCCAACCCAGAGATCTAGTCCTAAGAAAAGCCTTCATCACTGCCTGAAGAGAAGGCTCCAAAAAGATAGGGTAGCTACACACTCGCCACCATGAACGACAAAGAGATCTAAAAGTGTGGAACGCCTACAATATGAGGAAATACCATGCGTGGCCTCCTACTACATTAAAGCCCGAAGACTCAAGCAGCTCAAAGGGCACCACCTCGTGAGCCGAAGACTATCCAGTTGTTATGCAGTTTCTACTTTACAACTAAGTTTTTGTTCATTTCACTCGTTTTTCAATAAGGAATTCAGAAGTAATTTACAACTTAGCTCAACTGCATGTTTACAACAACTGATCATTCATGCATTTCAAAAGAAGACCGTGCCCTTCTTAAAGACTCAGAGCAGGAATTGCGCTCCCCTGTGGACCAACCATGCTCTCCAATGCGAAAGGGTAAACCAATTCCTCGACACTCACATGAGTCTACTCTCCAATACGGGAGGATAAACGTTGCATTTCGAATATCCGGACGTGGATGAGTCAGGCTACCCTGGTATAACTAGGTGCACGATGGCTTACATCGGGAATCCTAGAAGTAGCCACAATGGTCATTTTCAAGGCTTAGCTAACGGAAGGATTTTGGGTCTCTTAGCGTAATTCAGGGGGAAACGGCCATTAGAGACGGAGGAAGCACATTATGCACTACACCCTATGGACGGCTGACCTGGAACCCTAAAGCTGCTACTTAGTGCACTAAGGTAGCCTACAGTTTCTAGAAGACTGCCTACGGCTTGCCCTTCGAGCAGTAAGCCGCACTAAACTTATATAACCACATATTTTTATGAAAGGTTAAACAAGTTAGAGCACATATATGAAGCTTATTCGCTACCGACATGCTACGTAGTCGATAAGCTTCACCTCTGCCAAAGCGCGGAATGATCACTTAAGATCTACACTGATTCTTAAAGTGTTGTGATACTTGCTACGCAACCCATGAAATTGGTTACATAAAATCAAGGAGTTCTCTCGAACCTTTGCTTACGAAATTCCATACAACTGAGTACTTTTGATACTAGAGGTTAGCGAATTTCATAACCCAAAAATCTTTAGTACATTGTGATGCATGCCACACAGCTTAAAAGATTGAAGAAAACCAAGGTTAATAGCCAAACGGTCACGCGGACTTGTCTGCTTCTGTAAGTAAGGCGTCCAGCCGCCGACCCTATGGCTAATAACTTTGCAAAGTTCTACACCAACACTCATGGCTGCATAGGCTACGCGGGCTTGTTTGCTTATAGAAAAGTAGCATGTCTACCGCTGGTTTAGAAGCCAAAGGTTGGGCATGAACAAAAGAAGCAAAGATGAAGAAAAACGAAGGAAGCAAGTTTATTAAATTTCTAGCAAAATTGATAAACAACTATCGAAGGCCAAAAAAGTTCAAGAAAAGAAAAAAGCAACAAGGAAAACAAAGAAAATCCTAAAGGCTACCTAGAAGACTACTCTGCAACAACTTAGACATCCCGCAACTACTCGGTTGCCACACTTTCAACAACCACAACACTCTCAGCAGCAGCACCATTTGGCGATTTACCCCTCGCTATTCCAACTTGGGCACCAACTTCTCCGACTATTTCACCAATGGAAGCCTCAAAAGTAAGGGCAAACAAGTCTTTTGGAGAAATAGAGAAGGTCTTGAAGTCTTTCCCAACAAACTCAAAGTCAGACGGCCTCCTAAAGAGATGGTCTACATAACCTAGCTTGTAGAAATCGACTGACTCTAAACAAGCGAAGTCTCAAGCCCAGCCTTCTCACCCTTCAACTGCTCGTTCTCCTTGAGCAGACTAACATGGACGCGTTACAGCTCATCCACTTCCTTCTTTAGAATTTCGTTGATCTTCAGTGCACCTTGGAGTTCCAACACTTGGGGTTCA